TGACGGCCTGGACATCCAAAGTAGGGATCTCGAGGACAATTACTTCCCCCGAGGTTCCTATAACTTCAATGAAAGGAACGAAAACCCGCAACCTAAGCGCGCAAAGGAGATGCATGGAACCAGATGCGCTGGAGAAATATCTGCCGGCAAGAACAGCGTCTGCGGCGTTGGAATGGCGTACGACGGGAAAATAGCGGGAATACGCCTCCTTTCCGGACCAATAGTCGAGAGTGATGAGGCAGCAGCCATCAATTATCAGTACCAGGAAAATCACATTTACTCCTGTTCCTGGGGGCCTCCAGATGACGGCAAGGCTATAGGGGGTCCAGGGATGCTGGCTCAACGAGCGTTGGTGAATGGGGTGCAAAATGGCAGGCAAGGAAAGGGTTCCGTATACATATTTTCTGCGGGAAACGCCGGTTTTCTTGACGACGACTGCAATTTTGACGGCTACGTAAACAGCATCTATACCATTGCTGTTGGTGCTATCGATAGGGAGGGGAATCATGCTGAGTATTCGGAATCTTGCTCGGCCCTGTTAGTAGTTGGGTATAGCAGCGCCGGTTATCTAAGTGACGGCCTCGATGCTATTTATACCACCGATACAGGCGTTGAATCCTGCACTTCCGGACATGGTGGAACTTCAGCGGCAGGCCCGCTAATCGCTGGTTCTGTTGCTCTGGCTCTGAGTGTACGACCGGAACTAACTTGGAGGGATTTGCAGTATCTATTGCTTGATACTGCTGTTCCGGTGCATGAGGAAGAGGATAATTGGCAAATGACGGCGACAGGAAAGAAATTCAGCCATCACTATGGTTATGGAAAGGTCGACACTTATGCATTGGTGCAGAGGGCCAGAGAATGGCCGCTGGTAAATCCCCAGGCAGAGTTTCACTCTCCGTTGTTGGGGGTGCACCAGGATATCCCGCAAGGGACGCAAGGTGTTGAGAGGAGTTTCGAAGTGACCCGAGAAATGATATCCAACCTCGCGAAAGTAGAACACGTCACGGTCACCATGAACGTTAACCATACGCGTCGTGGCGACCTTAGCGTTGAGCTGCATAGCCCGGGCAGGATTATCAGTCAGTTGAGCACAACTCGCAGGCTCGATAACGAAACAGCAGGTTACTCGAACTGGACGTTCATGTCTGTTGCCCATTGGTGAGTATGCCTGGGGCCCCTTCTCCGTGTTAAATAACTAACTGGCATCCCAGGGGAGAAACCGCCATTGGTAACTGGACCGTGGTGGTTAAAGATACAGTTATCAACAATTTCCATGGGACATTCATCGACTGGCAGCTCAACCTCTGGGGAGAAGTGCATCATCGGCCCTCCCAAATGTCCCATGCACCACTGGACATTACCGACGACATTGGTCGTCCGATCCTCGTGAAACCTCCCCCAGCGGCAGAAACAGGAGTGGCCTGGGTGCATTCGCCCAGCCCGAGTGCCGTATGGCTCGCGGAAATGTGGATCTATAAGGCGCTTGCTACCGTGGTTGTTTCCTGCACTGCGGTTGGCATATATGCATTCTTGCGGCGGCGGCAGCGCCATCATCATCGCAGCTCAAAGTTCGATATTTCAGGGGAACCTGATGCGACGTTGGGCTCACGTCCTCGAATATATCGAAGTAATAGCGACCTCTATCATGCACTGGCTGGATCGTCCTCGGATGTCAGAGATTGGGGAGATGAATATCATGATATGGTTCAGAACGATGATATGGAGGCGTAAAAATACTCCACAGGAAATGACCACTCGGAATGTCGCTTATTTTGTGGAACGCCCATATGTTGGCGTTGTTCAGTTTCTGCATCTGAATTTCAGGCTGAGGTTAAAATCCACTTGCTTGTCAACTAGATTTTTAGTTCATTCCACGGATCCCGGGAGAGGAACGCCGCTGAATCTCGTCCCCATTCGAAGTGTTTTAGGGCCTGGAGGCGCGTTATCTTTGTTCCCCAGATCATATCTCACTGCTTGTCAGTCACCTCTGCCAGCGAACATTCTGCCGGTTTCGGGGGGTCTCACGTAACTCAGGGCGAAAAGGGTGCCAACCAATTTCTTAATTCAGAATCATGCTTTTTGGTTCCACCGGACTTCCCAATGATGCTGCATTGGCCAACAAAAGAGCAATTTCACCGATGAAAGTTTGGCCACATTGACTACCAATGAGCGGGGACATACTAGCTCACGACATCGTCAAGACATGCAGGGGATGTGCCTCGTGGGTTAGGCCTAGACAAATAGGAAGCCGAGCCGCAGGGGAGAACCCCCGCTAACCTGCCCTGAGTCGAATTGGTGCCGAGGCCAGCCTGTCAACGAGCTCAAGAAGTGTGGTGTCCGTTGTCTCGCGGGTGACGGAAATCCACTTTAACGCCAGTCCGGGTATGGTGGACAATTAGCCTTGTTCCCCGCACCATGGACTGATTTATTCGGATTTCTTCATCTCGCACCTCTCAAGGTTTTTGGATATATTACATGTTCTTTTATTGTTTGAGGTGATTGAAACAATCGAAACCACTCCGTCTACATATCTACTCGGTAGTTTTGTTGGCATCATGGCAGCGGCAGACCCTATTATTGAAATCGAGGTACATCTATCAAGATTCTTGAACGGACTCCCCCACAGAACTGATAATTCGACGGCTAATAGGATCGGGCATCCGATACCGATTCCCTATCAGGATCGTGAGTTTTTCAACGCTCCCGAGCGGCAGCTGATATTTAGCTAAGCACTAGAACAGAGTTACCGACGCCTCCTACACAACCTCTGTGACTTCAAGTATCAAGAACTATGTGTAAGTCTAGTATTCCATTCTCGTCTTATAGAAGTGGTTTCCGTCCGTTTACTAATTCTCTAATCCTAGATATGAGGTAAAATACCCTGCGGGTAATCATCCAATCAGGCCTAACAGCAGCGTCTATAGAACGGGCGTCGTTATCATGCATTCAAAGAAGGCGAATATCTCCTCGTACGTACCACGCCAACCTTCTTCTTCTGCCTGCGAAAAGTTAAAACTAAAATATATAACTACCGAAATAGCCGAACGACGAAGATGAGCAAGAACGTATGGACATATCGCATCATACCTATCGTCTCCTTCTAGATGGAAATCTTCACAAAGCACCGATTCCAAAGGATGTACAGCGTGTTTTGGATCTGGGGACCGGTACGCATCGCTCTACAACCCCCATAGTGAGACCTGTGATGTTTCGGCATATATGTAAAAGTGTCAGGTCTGACTATGGACTATAGGAACTGGAATATGGGCCATGGAATTCGCTGAGTGGGTGAAATTGCCCCTTACGATCGATATGCCGCGGCGCTAACATAATAACTCTTTGCAGTGAATATCCTAGTGCACAAGTTATTGGTAAGTTTATATCTGCACGAGTTTTCTCTCCCTTCTTTGCAGTTCTTTTGGAGGGTGGGGGAGGGGGAGGTTCGCGAACTAACTGATCCATACACTAGGCAATGATCTGAGTCCCATTCAGCCAGCCTGGTATGTCCTATAGTATCATTCCATGTTCCCTCATTCCTTATACTAACCTTCCCGTTCCCAGGGTTCCGCCGAACTGCAAATTCGAAGTCGACGATTTTGAAGCAGACTGGCCTTACACTCAGCCTTTCGATTACATCCACGCGCGTGAGATGGACGGTATGATCAAAGACCATGACCGCTTCTTTAAGCAGGCGTACACCCACCTTAAACCAAATGGGTGGTTCGAAATCCAGACCCTTGAGGCGGATTTCTTCAGCGATGACGGCTCCCACTTGAAAGCGACAGATTACGCACGATGGAAAAACCTACTACATGAAGCTGCGGAGAAGTTTGGAAAGCCAATGAATACGGTCCCTACGTGGGCCAAGCGTGTTGAGGAAGCTGGGTTCAAGAATGTAACCGATGAGATTTTGAAAGTACGTGTGGCTGTTCTCATGCTTTATGGCTTGTATATTTTGTGTCTGTGGGCTATTACCTATTTTGTTCCTATTTTTCTAATGAACTACTTGTGTGCAGGTGCCCTGCGGTCCGTGGCCCAAAGACAAGAAATTAAAGGAGATGGGCAAATTCCACCAGCTGCAGATGTATGGTGCTTTCACGGGGTACACCATAGCGCCGCTGAGTCGCGTGCTGGGCTGGAGCAATGAAGAGATTGAGGTTCTCATTGCTGGCCTGCGGAATCAGATTCAGGATAAGAGCATCCACGTGTATGCCAGAGCCCATTTCATCTACGGTCAGAAACCGGCTGATGGGGCTTAAACGCCTTCCTCTCTTTTTAATTTTCTTATGGCAAAACGCGAGTGCCTCCTTATGTGATCTTCTGATTTAATGGTATTATTAATATTCGGGCTTGCTTCTAACGTTTACTTGTTTTTTACATGTTTGGGTTTTTGATAGATGCTACCGACAATTTGCTTTCTGGCTTTGGTTGATGTGGTTAAATGGATACCTTATGTTTTGATAGGCCAAGGCGGAACAGTATTTGACCATATTAAGTTGTAGACAATCTATCTCAATTATAGATATTCTTTTTGATCCATTGCTCCTCTACGATACTTTTATCTGGTTCGGTAAATGCCTCCTGTGTCACCTCCCGCTTTTGCCCGAGCCTTTGGAATGGAGGTGATAGTTGTATTTTAATACTTAATTGCTAATTTCCTGCAGCATTGGTTCTTTCGTTGTAGCTCTTTTTACATTGCCGGATAGTTTGCTTGACCTAAGCAATCGATGCAACCAAGTATATATATATTTTTTGGTTAAACCTGGCTGCTGGAACAACATGCCGCACAAAACCATTAAACTACGGATTAGTTTTAGGAGGGAGCTCGCCACTGCATTTAAGAAGAGGAAGATAATACAGATCAAACCGCATAGTAGCAAAAACTTATCCCATATAAGATTAATCATTCTTTAAAGCGTTCGGCCGACTGGAACCCTGGTGCGCATCACCCAGTCCCAAACAAAATTTTCGTAGGGCGGCTGGCTTCCAACAAATCAGCCGGGCTAGCTCAATCGGTAGAGCGTGTGACTCTTATTATTCAGTTACACTCTCTGATAAAGCGATCACAAGGTTGCGGGTTCGACCCCCGCGTTCGGCTTTCCCGTTGAAAAAATTATTTCATCGGTTTCCGGTCCCATAGCTCAGTTGGTTAGAGCGTGGTGCTAATAACGCCAAGGTCGCGAGTTCGACCCTCGTTGGGACCATTTTTTTGCTTGTGCGGGCTTCTATCTTGCTATTGAAGTGCTGTGCATATTTTTTTACGATGAGCAACCAATTTTTAGAGGTGTTCTTCTGTTGTGCGTTGGGGATAGTCTAGATTACGTCAAATGCGAAAAGAACAGGCCGATTACAAAGGGAAGATGCCCATAAGTAGTGTAGAGCTACCCATGAATATATATTAGTAGCATTCGAATTTTGAACCTGGAGTGAAAATTCTACGACCGCTTGAAAGGCTGATGAAAAAAAAATGATAATGTTGTGGGATACAATGACGTCACATACAGCCTTGTCCCGTTCTGGTCTGGTTTGTCTGGATAGAGTTTTTGGAACCATGGATCCGGCCCACATGATCAACCCTAAATTGACCTCGGAACATCAAACCTTCGCGGGACCTGACCAGATCGGATCGCTCCACGGCGCCGTTGCAGAATTTCCAATGGGCTGCTCTTTGGCGATGAGGCGTCCATTACTTCCGGCCACTGATAATACGTGAAGATGCCGGGACTGGCGAGGAAGCTGCTGATATTTGCTGCCGTGGATGGGCTGATCCTTCAACCTTACACAGCATCATCACAGCGCGGCAGCACCAGTAGCCCCTCTGCGCTGCAAATCGAGTACAAGACGCGCCGAATATACTCGCCGCCCTCCACATCAACCAGGAATGAGGCGTGCCTAGAGTCGCATGGGGTTGTTGGTCAGTGCCCGCTGTTTCACTATGCCTTGATGGAGGCCAAGAGCTAACCCTTTTTTGTGTAACCCTAGGCCTCTTATCCGTCGCATCTTTCTCGTTCTTAATATCCATTACCCAGCGCCAACAGGTCGCTCAAATCCTTGGAAAGCCCATTTTTGTTATCACTGGGGTTGCGATTATCCCCCTATCTTCTCAGGACGACGCTACAAAGGCGATCAACCAAGCCCAAGCCCAGCTGTCTGCAAAACCGGGTGAGGGCACCGACGATAATGCCGAGATCGAAGTTTCCGAAAGTGACAGCGATCTTTCAGATGGCCGAAATAGCGAGGACCACAACTTCGACACCCCAGATTCACCAGATCAGGAAATATTCCCTCCCCTAGGCATCAAAGACACCGGTAATAGCACCATTGCTGAGGATGTCATCCAGAAGCGAGGCCGATATGGTAGGTTCGCCACACGTTGGTTCTCGAAAAATGGATGGGCACGCGAGAATCGACGTTCTCAGGGTATGGGCTGGGATGGCTTCAACGATCCTGCTGCATCAGGTTCGGTCAGGGGAAGTAAGAGTGGGGACTTTCAGAACGATATAATTCAACTTGACGATCTTTCGACCACGGGACAGAAATCTTACTCTGCTCCACAGGAAGTAGATTTATCGCCTCCGGAACCTACAACATACGAATTGATGCCTAAATTATTGCGTTATACCAAGATGATGCTCAGTTCACGAAGTTTCTACTACTCCTATGATTATGATATTACTAGGAAATTCGGCGCACAGGATTCTGCGATGTCGCCACTGCCGTTGCATAGAGCTGTTGACCCATTGGTACGAACCTGCTGTACCCCGAAATATCGAGGTCTACTAACAAATTATAGTATTTCTGGAATCGTAATTTGATGACGCCTTTTATCGAGAGTGGACATCACTCGTTTGTTCTACCTTTGATGCAGGGATTCGTGGGTCAAAGGGAATTCACGGTCAAGAAGTCTACCAAACCCACTGATGGGGAGGATGTGATAATCGCCCCAGAAAATAATACCGAAACTTCTGCACCCGAATTGACAACCCCAGAAACCGAGAGCGAAGATCGCAACTTTCTCCTCACTCTGATTTCTCGTAGGTCTGTTAAGCGGCCTGGGGTTCGCTACCTTCGAAGAGGAGTAGATGACGAAGGAAACACCGCAAATTCGGTTGAGACAGAACAGATGCTGTCAAGCCCATCTTGGAATCCGTCTGACAAAGTATACTCCCTCCTACAAGTACGCGGATCAATCCCACTCTACTTCTCCCAGTCTCCGTACTATTTTAAACCCATTCCCGTTCTTCGCCACTCTACAGAAACAAATCAAGTGTCCTTCAGTCGGCATTTCCGCGATTTGAGCAGGAGATATGGTGAGATTCAGGCGGTGTGCCTCCTTGATAAACATGGTGTTGAGGTTAACATTGGGGAGACCTATGATAAATTTATCGACACATATAACAAACGTGATTCCGCGGATTCTCCGCATATAGGATTTGAATGGTTCGACTTCCACACGGAATGCAGGGGAATGAAATTCGAGAATGTACAGCGTCTGGTTAATTCGATCTCGGGAACCCTGGATCGCTTCGGAGATACAGTCGTCCAGAATAATGAAGTTCTAAGATATCAATCCGGCATTGTGAGGACAAACTGCATGGATTGCCTGGATCGTACCGGGGTAGCGCAATGTGCCTTTGGCCAAAGAGCGTTGGAACAGCAGCTGGAAAGCGAGGGCTTCTCGATCGACCTCCAGACGAGTACCTCCACACAGTGGTTCAACGTTCTTTGGGCTGATAACGGGGATGCGATTTCTAAACAGTACTCCTCAACCGCTGCCTTGAAAGGGGATTACACGAGGACTCGAAAACGAGATGTTCGAGGAGCGCTCAACGACCTGGGCCTAACGCTGTCCCGGTACTTCAACAATATAGTGAATGATTATTTCTCTCAAGCCTGTATCGACTACCTTCTCGGAATCGTTACTACCCGAGTGTTTGACGAGTTCGAAATGAATCTCATGTCTGCTGACCCGGGGATATCCATCGAGAAAGTGCGCCAACATGCCATCGACACCAGCTGCCAGATTGTCATAAGTGACCAGTCGGAGGAGCTTGTTGGCGGGTGGACAGTCTCAAGCCCCCATGAACCTAACACCTTACGAACACTTCCATTCGAACAGTCCGTACTCCTCCTTACAAACGCAGCTGTATATTGTTGCCGCTTCGACTGGGATACAGATAAAGTAACGTCCTTTGAACGCATCGACCTCCCCTCCATCACCAGCATCCACTACGGCACCTACATCACCTCCACTCTCACCGATGCACAAATGGATCCCCGACACAACGTCGGTGTGGTAATCACATACCGATCCGGCGCCACAAGTACCCTGAGAATCAACACGCGCTCCCTCCAAAGCCTCTTCGACCAGAAATCCCAGCAAACCCCATCAACAGAGGCCACCACTGGCGACAAACCCTCAAGTCCCGAGTGGGATATAGCCTCCCTATTCAAAGGAAAACGGGACGCTTCCAGATTCATGGCGTTCAAAGTCCTGCCGCAGACGAACATGACCGTGACAACAAACGCGCTGGATGGAGTCCAGGTTAGTGAGACGGACCGGGCGCGCGCGCTTTGTGAAGAGATTGAACGTACTGTTATGAGAGGGGTCGCGGGACACAGTGGTACTGGTACAAGCGGGCCCGGACACGTGGATAAGGAATCGATGATAAGGGAAACGGAGATTATTTCTGTTGCTGACGCGAAGAAACGTACGGGACTGTTGGAGCATCTGGTTTTCGATATCAAGAAGTTGGTGTGGGCGTGAGTGAGGTCTGGAGGATGAGAATATGAAGAGGGGAATTAATTTTTTTTTTCGATCAAGGTTATAAATAATGTGTCATGTTTGGATTTCGTTTACTGCCTGCCTCCCCCCCCCC